CAGGGAGCCCGATGCAGGGCTCGATCCCAGGACCCTGGGATCATGACCTGAGCCGAAGGCAGACGCTTAATGACTGAGCCACCCAGGCGCCCCTTTATCTTTTTTTTTTACATTTTATCTTTAATTGTGGTATTTGCATATGATAAAAATAACATAAAATCTAAATTTCAAGCAGAAAGAGTGAATAGAGAGCAAAGTAACTTCCACTCTACGAAAAAATACATAATAGTAACATACATAATTAAATTGTTTTTTTTAAACACCAGTGATTTTGACACTATTCTCTATCTTTTCAGGAAAAGACCAGTATCTCATAGAGAAACTTCCCATGTTAACCTCTGAAATGCTGTCAATGCTTTCAACCTGGACATCTATACCTACTGGCACTGGAGACCCTTCAGAAAGAAGAATGACTGATATACTTAGAGATCATTAAAATTATTTTGTAATATTCAAAGCAGAGAGAGATCAATGTTGCAAGTGAATTACTTAAAAAAAATTTTTAACAACAAATTTCTCCATTATCTATTCATATATTATTATATAGTCAATTACAATAAAAAGGCACATGTGTAAATGTTATTTCAATAATTATTACACATTAGACATTATTATATATACATAATTATATACACATTACACATTATTACCCTTAGAAATAACCCAACATTTTCCTTCTTATAGTATACTTATGGTATAGAAGTAGTGTGTTCAATTTTTTTGTTGTTTTTTGTTTTAGCTAGTAGTGATTTAAAAGGGAACAATGTTTCAAAAACATGTCTAAGAGTATGTAGAATTATGTATTCTCTATGGTAAGGATCATATTTTATAGTCAGGGAGTGGAGTAGTTGTGGAGTTCATGACTCTGAAAAATGTGGGAGCCTTTTCTCTCTTTCCAAAAGATCAGCTGCTTCTGCTTGGGCAGTGCGTGGCAGGCTGGAAAAACACAGACCAGAGTACAGTCTACACAGGGCCTCCACACACTCACAACGGTCTCTTTGCAGGACATCGGTAACCACAACCTGCAGTTGGGATGAAGCAAACATCCTTAGAAATGTGTTTGATGAGAATGTATTGAAAGTCAGAATTGGAGAAAATTCAGACAAGTGCTAAGATTTGTTTGCAGTTGGGTCTCAATGAATCTGGTTCATGGGTCCGGAGAACATGGATGACAACGCCATAAGAAAACCTAGACCAGACTGAGACCAAGACATTTCCTTGTTACACCTCACAAAGGGTTTCACCAGTTCCTGTATGAGGGTAAACTGATGTTAACAACTTCCTCACTTAGTACCATGCATGGAATTTGATGTATGTATATGTTAAAATAATTTTTATGTTTATACATGTAGTCTTCATATGCTTTCTTTTCATAGTGACCAATTCTCAATTAAATTTTTTGTCTCTGTAGAATTCTGAGTTTAAAAAAAATGCTTTCAACTACTTTTGCAGAAACAGAAATCTTGCCTAGGTGGATCCCAGGTGGTTGTTTTAGTCAAGATTCTGCGATTGAGAAGGTTTGGCCTGGAAAACTTCCTCCTTGAGGCTAATTAATGTCTGGATTTGTGACATGTGACATACATGTGCATATCATTCAACAAAGTGCCTAATTATTGTGTTTTAAATGCATAACACATGGGACGCCTGGGTGGCTCAATCCTTTAAGCAACTGCCTTTGGCTCAGGTCATGATCCCAGGCTCCTTGCTCAGCGGGGAGTCTGCTTCTCCCTCTGCCTGTCACTCCCCCTGCTTGTGAGCCCTCACTCTATCTCTCTCTCTGTGTCAAATAAATAAAATCTTAAAAAATAAATAAATAAATGCACAACACATTATAAAACAAGATATGCCTCGCCAGTCCCTGTCCACCATCTAGGACTCCCCTCATTAATTGGTTGAAGTTACCTTCACTTTACCAAGACAGATTTCCTTTTATATTCCGTAACATACCCTCGTATCATTCCTTACTTACAGGGGTTCCAGCTGGATAGGCCCTGGGCTTGTCACTCAAAAACATTTCCCACTCTGGGTTTCAGGAACACTTTGCTTGCATCGTAACCACCAACGACTTCCTGCAGTATTGGATCAATTACTTTCTATACATTAATGGCGACAATTCTATTTAAAAATTGTTTAACGGTAATTATGGTTATGCCTTAACTTGGGAACTCTTCAGGATTACTCTATTATATACTGGGTTCAGCTCTGATGCTTTTGTTTACTTTTTTTCTTTAGTTAGTAGAGATATCACAATAAAAATTCATGGCCTTTCAGGATCGATTCAGGATGAGTAAATATTCCCATTAATTCCAATAGTCCAAGGGATTGAAAGGCCTGGCGAGGTCTTGGAGAGGTAGCAGAAACGTCCTAGTTAAAATTCTGGTGTTAGAGTCACAGACTAGAGTTTGAACCCAGCTCTACCACTCATCTGTGATCCACGGTAAGTAACATTTCTAAGCTTAGTTTCCTCACCTATAAAATCCTAGTAGCAGTACTCACCTTGGAGACTTATTTGAGGACTAGAAATAATACACAGTTAGTAAACTTAATTGGTGTTCAATAAATGGCACTAAATAAATGTTATTGCTATTGCAATTCAGCAAAAATGCAAACCTGCTCCTAGCAATGCAAGTTACTATTCCCAATCTTGCACTCAAACATTTAATCAGCCCACTCCTGACGAGAAAATGATACAGTGCTTCTCACAGAGCACCTATTTTATGACAAAACCTGAGAACAATTTGCATGTAGAATTTTGTGACTTGTAAGCAGATCCCAGTTGTTAATGACTATTTCTGCAAGCTAGGGCAGTCATATAAAGCCACCACACAAGGAGATACTCATGCTACCACTGGAAAGAACTAGACCCTCAGGGTGGTTAGAAGACTGGTATGGGTTAAAGAGTGGGGTAAAAACATGGCTTGTCCATTAGGAATGGACTCCTGGAAACATTCTCAATTTCTTTTTTCTTCCTTTCAATTCTATTCTTGGGGGGATGAGCTCTTCCATTTTGAAGAAAAATGTTTGCCCTCAGATGCCATCTGACCTCATTTTTGGCTCCTTTGAACTCCATGCCCAAGTGTACCTTAGTCCAGGGTCTAGGAATCTATACATTCTCAAGGACAGTGTGGAGGGGGAGGGCCATGTAAAGGCAAGGTGCAAAATTACAGAATTTTGGAGCTGGATATAGTTCCAAATATCATTCTTTTTATAGATAAGGAGCTGAGTCTCAGAAGAGAGAAGATAGTAATAAAGCAGATGGATTAAAAATCACGGAATTTCTAGCTATTAATCTCGAATTAAAGCCAAAACTTCCATAAATCCCTTAATTCCTCTAAATCTCAGTTTGCTTATCTGTGAAATAGGGGAAATAAATCTGTGGTACTTACCTAATAGCCTTGCTGTGAGACTAAATGAAAGAATGAGTGTCAAGTCCTTAACCTAACCCCATTCAAACGTCTTACCGACCAACCTGTCCAGCATCTATTGGATCAGTAACATATATAACAACACAAATAATAACAATTTCACAAATATTTGCATTAATTCCATATATAAAGCATTTGGAATATAGTAAAAATAAATAAATATTAACCGTTATCATTATGCATTGATTTCCCAGGATCAATACCTAGGTAGTAGCACACACATCTGTAGTCGTTTTTATATACGTAAAGATAGACCATCAGTCTATTTTTATGTATGCTGGGATAAGGATTGTTAAATAACAGTCATATATCTTATGTGTATAGTACACTTAAAATACATCATACAATATATTATCTCCTATTATCATTACAGCTGTTTGTTAGGTAGGTAGGTAGAACCGATGTTACCTCCACTTGACATATGACATAACTCACTCGGAGATGTCAGCGAGCTTGCCTGAAACCCAAGGCTAGTTAATGCAGGAATATAGCCAGTTCCCTTCAGCTCCCAGGCTAGTCCTCTTGCTTGACAAACATAGATTATACGGGCAGCTTTCACAACGTTAGCTTTTGTCTTGACTCAGTAGCCAGTCTCTAGATGCTAAATTGATTTCACTTTAAAGAAAGAAATCATCATCTCTAAGAGTGAAACAAAAAAGCCCTCAGTGATGAGAGATGTAAAGGGTAGGAAAAACATAAAGAAAATGAGCTGCAATTTATAACCCAAGTTAAACAAAAAGCTCCCCTAAATTTATATCCTCCTGTTTCCACATAATGAGTCAATTAATCTTCTAATGCTTTATAAAAGTAAAAAACACTGCAGTAGCAGCTGGTTTTAATGTTAAAGCTAATTAGGAAAACACATTAAGGCAGAGGAAGTGCTGAAGTTACATTTAGCACAAGAGGAAAGAAGTATGTGCGTGTGTTTATGTTATGAACAAGTATAAAGAAGGAGACGATAAATTAAAGCCTGTCTTGTCTATCCTGCAGCCTGATTCCCCCAGGAAGGCAGCCTTGAGAGAACAGAAATGGGTCACTGGTAGAAGAAGCTGTTCTGACCAAGAGAAGGTTAAGGACTGTTTTTCACGGAGCTACCAGGCTGACACTTCTGCCTGAATTTATGGATTTTTCTGCCTGAGCTGACTGAACACATAAGACATTTGGACACCATTTAGCCCCGGTCCATGATTGTCAGAAAAATTTCTTCACCGTGGGATGATTTGCCACCTGCCACTAAGTAGCCCATTTCAATTGCATTTTTAATAACCCCACAATACAGCCTCAGGAAAAATAATTGCTTTTTAAAAAAGCGTTCCTACTCAAAATAAAATCTTAACATGTATCTCCAACAGATCAAAGGAAGTGGAAATTTAAGGTCAATTTTATGTTTTTCTGGGGGACCAGGATGATAAAGGGGAGGGAGAATGAAGATTTAAGTGTTTTAAGGTAAGAGCAGAGGGTCCTCCCTCAGTCATCTGCAGCAGTGTTTCTCAAATTGTAAAGTGTATTCAAATCACCTGGGGATCTTATTAAAATGCAGATTTTGATTCAGAAAGCCTGAGTGTGGGGCCTGAGCGTCTGCATTTTTAACTAACTCCCAGGTGATTCTGCCGCCAGTCCTTGAATCACTTTGAGTGATAATGCCTTTCTAGAGAGAATGCTTGTGTCCAAATTCAAGGACAGCCATTTTTCTCTCAGTCGTTCTGGCTTTCAGTGGTCTAAAATAGACCCATAGAAACCCTTTCCTCCAAGATAGGAATTCATTTAATTGAAGAACCTAAACTGACAGGAATTAGGGCAGCTTTTTGTATTGGTGTTGAAGTGCATACATCATTTTGAGCTTCTAATTGCTGTTCGGGAAAGGCCAGGTCCAAGCCATTCCTGTGCGACTGGCTCCCTCTAGTGCCTAAAAAGGCCCATGGCAGGGCAAGTCTACGTAACATTTTCTCCAACTAAACGTTGGTAGGGGAGACTTTAGAAACTTTTTACAGAATCATAGAGACCAACGTACAGAATAATTGCGTGATAGCTGTAGAATATATTATCCAAACTGTGGGCAAACTCTGGTTGGAGGGGAAAGAAAGAAACGGTCTGTTGGGAATTGTAGTTTAGGGTTCAGGCATCTTTGGGAGAATTCCAGTAAGGAAGACACATCTGAGGAGCAGTGATGTGAAGAAAACAAGACAAAGAAGTAGTCCCGGAAGTAAAACACGAACACATCTTTAAACCTGATTAATTTCGAGGCTTCTAAAAATCTTAAATTAACTTCAGTAAGTGTGAGAAATGCTCTGGAAAAACAAAAAATGAAACGCCGGAGATTTAATCTGATGCTGATAATCTAATTCAGCAATTATCAAATGTGATTCTCAGACTAGCTGTATCAGCATCACCCAGGAATTGATTAGAAACGCAAATTGTTCTCCTGAAACAATAATACATTATATGTTAATTTAAAAAATTTTAAAAAAAGAGAAAGAAATGCAAATTTTTGGCCCCACCCATATCTAGGGATTTGAAACCTGGGTGTGGGGGTGGGGCTCAGCAATCTGTTGTTAAGAATCCCCCAGGTGACTTTGATGCTTGTTAATGTTTTAGTCACGAATCTAATAAAATCAAAGCCAGACCCTTAGAATTGCAGCCCAATGGATTCCACGAAGTTAAAAAACAACAAACACCCCTCAACATCCCAACTACCTGACCTGCTGTTTTTATTTTACCTGCTAACAAGTGAGTCCTCTGAGGTACCTACATTGCCTGTTGTGCTTCCCTTGGTCATAACCACAATAGAGCCAGTGTCAAGTTTCCCCCAGCCCGCTCCGAAAACTTAAAGTATGAGTTGTTTATGAAAAAGCTGCATCTGTTCTACAGCTGCGGGCTCCTGCCTTCTCAGCTTCACATTCGCTTCTGCGATAGCCACACCTCTAGTAGTCTGGAAAGTTGTTAGCTCAGGAATGGTGGGAGTGGAGACTTAGGTCAATGACAGAAGCCTCAGGATGGATTTAGCAGTAAGGCGGCGAGTTCAGATTAACTGCTTGATTCCACCACATCCTGTGCGTCTCTGGAAAACTTGGTTCCCTCAGGGATGCAACTGGACGCACGTTAACCAATCTGAGGGCAGGAAAGACTTTGGTCCAAGTATGTCCTTACATGGCCTTCTGCGGTCCTGCTTACCTGCCCTTGCATCTCGGTTCCACCGCGTATTGCTTTTTTCCTGGCTTTGAGCAAATCTCCTAACCTCTCTACACCCCAGTTTCCACACTGGAATACTAGGGATCATGATAGTGCCTACTTACGAGGCACGGGGAGGGTGGAATAAGCTAGTGCATTAACAGGCTCAGCCGAGTGCCTGGCACTCCAACATTCCGGAAGGTGCCTGAAGTAATAAAACGAGAAACCTGAACAGAGATGTTTCATAGGGAGAGCCATGGCATTTGGTGTGTTAGTCCTTTCACCAAAGCCAGGCACTCCAGCTTATAAACTTATTCAATAAGATTTTATGAATATCATCACAGAATCCAATTTACAGGTTTTAGTTGAAAGAATAAGTAGTTGCCATATAGGCATGATATACATTATTTATTGAGCACACACTATTTGTAATTAGTAAATAATGTGGATATTTACTAAAGATATTTATCTTTTTTGATCAATTTAAAATTTATCAATTGTTCTCATTCAAGAGAATATCATTGTAAAAGTTTTTTTTTTTAATTGATGGTCTTCACTTGTGTTTTGGTCTTAATTGCTTCAGATTTTCAACTTCGACAGTGCAAGAGATTGTGACATAAGAGTTTTGTAAAGATAATACTCACCTCCAAATCCAGGTCTCATTGCAAAGTCATGGTCCTCTATTTGGAGAAGTTGCTCGTATTGCAGGAGCCATGCTTTGGTACTGTCATCTTTCCTCCTTCTGGCTTCTTGTTTGCTATCCCTCCAAAGTGGGGAAAAATAATTTTGAGATATGCATGCTTTTGGGTATGTTGATTTAGGTTAGCCTTCTGTGTTCAACTTGGTATCCTTTGAAATATATACATAAAAGCTCATTTTCTCAGTTTATACTACACATAGCTAAAGATCTGCCAACACTTACTCTTTATTATATAAGTGTGGGCAGGTAAGGTAACCCAAAATTTGGAGCAACTTGGATGATAAACCAAATCTGGATGTGATACTCTGGCAGGCGACTTCTCAGAATATGGTTTTTAGACCAGGAAAACCTTGTCACCACCACCTTAGATCCATGCACTCCACCCCCAGATCACCTAAACCAGAACCTGAGGAAACAGAGCCTAGGAATCTGCATTAAACATGTTACTTAAGTGATTCTTGGGGTCACCGAAGGAAAACTACTTCTGCACTAAGACAGTAAAACAAAAGCAAAAACAAAAAAACACTGCAAAATGGTAAACTGATGAAAATAGTGTTTTACAAAGACAAAATGAGCAGAAAGTATGGGTGCAAGTTGAGATTAGAGCAGAATGTCTGTAGTAAGTTCTAGAACCTGAGGGATGGCAATGGGAATGCAGAGGAATCCAAAAAGAGGGGGAGCATGGAAATAGGTTTCCTTTGTTTCATCCAGGAAGGAGAAGATTCTAACCCAAAGCGAAAAGTGATAACTATTACCAAGACTTACACCTACTATTTCTCAAACAATGTTTGTTACACTTTGTGGGCAAAGAGAAGCAAATATGCCTAATAAGGGGGTTGATATATGGTGGAGCATCAGGTTTAGTTCAGAGCTTTCTGGTCTAATTCAATATATATATCATTTTAAACCACTTTGTGTCTTCTGCCCTCTTCCCCTCTTCTAGAAAAAGTAACTTCATTTTTAGTAGCTACTGAAAGAAAGCTTTTGGATAACTTCTGTCTGAGGAGAGGATCTTCTAAAAGACTGAGTCCTGATGGAATAGAGCAAAGAAATCTCAGTTCATGGAAGAGTCTTACATGAGCACTCTCAATCTTTGTCTTTGCTCCCCCTCTTTTTGGTATCAGAAACTCTACTATAATTTTGTGACTAAGAAAGTGGGGAAGAAAAGACTGGATTTTGAGTGGTTTCAGGGAGATTAAGGGAGTCTTTGAGGAGGACATATTAGGCAAAGAATTAAAAAGTACTAGAACCAGATGAGGAAAAGTAAATACATCTAAGTCATTCTGATGCACTGGGGTTAAATAAATGGAATGACAGAAACTCATTTTAATTGAGTCACTAACACTCAGCAGGTTACTTCACAAAACTGCTTTCCCAAGGGTCTATATATTTGATTAGTTTACTAGGATGAAACTAGTTGAAAACAAGTAGGCTGACATGAATAGACTATTGAACCAAGGAAAAATATAATTAACAAGCATATTTTAAAAAAATATTTAATCTAGGGGCGTCTGGGTGACTCAACCGACTTTTGATTTCAGCTCAGGTAATGACCTCAGGGTCCTGTGTCAGGCTCTGGTCTCATGGGGTAGTCTGCTTGGATTCTCTCTCTCCCTCTCTTCGTGCCCCTCCCCTGTGCATGTGAGCGCACCCACTCTCTCTCTCTTAAATAAATAAACCTTTAAAAAATAAAAATAAAAAACATTTAATCTAGAGAGTTAACAGCGAGATACCAGTTAAGACCAATACCATTTTATACCGATTAAGTGAGCCCCGAACACAAAATCTCAGCAGCCAACCATGTTAAAAAGGTATGACAAAAAAAAGTAAAAAAAAAAAAGTAAAAAAAAAAAAAAAGGTATGACAAAATGGGAACATTTATACTTTGTAGATGACAGCACAAATACTGGCAAAACCCTTTTAGAATCAATTTCAAGAGCTATGAAGATAATTCATATGCTTTGACTTATAATTCATTTCCAGTAATATTATAATTTTTATTGGTACAGGGAAAATTACATGCATAAAAATATTTACTGCTGTGATTCACCACAGTGCAAATTTGAAAACAAATGTTCAATAATAATTGGTCCTTTAATTCAAAGTAATAATATGGAGTGATTAAAATTACCAACCATTATAATATCTGTGAAACAACATAGAAAATGATTAAGTTAAGAAAATACAAAATAGTTTCTATACTATAATTTTAAACATGAAAAATCATGGAACTATATGAATAAGGATTAGAACTTGGAAAAGGGAGAGCATAGTTGAGATTCTTTGTATTGTTTCCATGTAAAATTCCATTATTGAATTTGCATAAGAAATGCTTTATAAATTATCTAGAACAAGTTGGACTTGCCATCTTGGATCTTTTCCAAAGAAGGGTCCAGGTATGGCTCTCTACCTTATCATTCCATTCTCCTTGTCATTCTAGAAGCATGTCTGCTGCTTAACATGGACTTTTTTTCTCATTGGAGCTCTATTATGAACCAGTACACACAGAAGCCCAGTAGTCTCAAATAATGCGTAAGCAACATTTAAAAAACTTTGTATAGATTTATTATTTTCCTTTAGAAAAATACTAAATGAAGCAAAAATGGGCTACAAAGATGCAAATCCAAGAATGCAATAAAGTAGGAAAATTAGGTGATGCGATTTTTGATCACTAAGACAACCTTCATACTTCTGGATCCAATGTTTATATCTAGGTCCCTGATGCTTTTGCTCTTTCTTAGGGAGGACATGGTGCCTTCTATAGAGCAACTCTGGGGCTTTGACTGACCTGCTCCTGAACTCCCCAGTCCTGGGAAGACACACCTGACTTTAGTCAACAGCCCATCTCTTATAAAGAAAAAAACCCCATAGACATGAACATTTCTGTGGAAGAGCCACCCAGAGGGAAGGCCCCACTTGAGACATGACAGTTCCTATGTCTTACTTGGGTCTCTATCTGATCATGAGCTCAGTGATGAGACCTCAGTTTCCTCACCTATGAGATGAGAAAATTGGACCAGATTAGGAACTGGTCTGCCCGTATTTTTTTTGCATAGTCTGTATGTTATATTAAATTGGAAAATTTCACATGAAAATCTTACTTTCCTGAGTCTTCTACAAAGATCAAAGAATCTAGCAACACCGGGCTCAAGTTTTCTTACAACAAGAGAAGGCTGGACCCGACCAGCTACAGCGTCCTGAGGAGCACCCCGTCTGTAATTGGCACAACCTCTGCACAGCCTTCTGTCTCACTTGCAGGAGCACTTGGACTTGCCATCCCTAGGACCCTCCTGGCTTTTACGTTAGGTTCATGGATGTGCTGGTAAATGTTTAGCAAGTTGTTCTCCAGGAAAAAAAAAACAGCCCTATTTGTGGTGTTTGCTGATTTCCACAATGTAAATACTCCCATGTGGCTGATTGCAAGGTACTGACATGACAGAGATGTGCACAGTCCATAGTGTAGTGCTGTAAAATATAACGAAATATGACATAACATAACATAATTTAACATGATTTAATGTAATAGATGGGATTTCTACCTGACAGATAGGATAGACGTAAATAGCCTGAAGAATGAGATAATCGTAAAATATAGTAAAGGAATAAGGGAGTGGTGAGTTTCAAGTATGTATTCCCTTTTTAAGAAATAATTTAATTGTATGTTTATAAATTATATGTATAATTTAATTTTTAATGATGTTTATTTTCAACAGCTAGCAAATAGATTTCCTGAAATTGTGAACACTTGGCTCTTGCAAGCTGATTTAGGCAGACTCCATACTCACTATTCTTGAGGCCAGAGACAGTGTATTGTTCCTCTAACATCCTTAATCCCTGACCCCGGCACTTGGCATATAAAGGGCACTCAATACAACTGTTGGAAGAATGAATAAATATTCAATGAGTTTATATGCCTAATCTTCTTTGCATCACCAGGGAGCCAAATCTCTTCCCTAGGCAAAACAGGGACATTTTTCACCTGCCAAAATTTACTTTATTTGCCAATTCTCCTTCTCCTCCTGTTTTGCTTTTAAGAAACAAAGGGTATCTTTAGATAAACGATTTTAACAATATTTAGATAAAAAGGGGAATCTTTTTTTTTTTTAATCCATGTGACACAGAGAGAGAGAGATAGAGAGAGAGGGAATATGAGCAGGGGAGAGAGGCTGAGGGAGAGGGAGAAGCAAACTCCTCGCTGAGCCAGGAGCCTGATATGGGGCTCGATCCTAGGATCCTGAGATCATGCCCTGAGCTGAAGGCAGACGCTTAACCATCTGAGCCACCCAGGCACCCCTAAAAAGAGGAATCTCGGGGTAAAGCGTAAGATTATATTCTGAAAGAAAATAATTAATAAGAAAGCATTTAAGGGACTGATTGTATGAAAACCGGCTCAAAATAATGCACATGAACGCCAGGTTATGTAAATCCATCCACTTCACAGTTTTTAAAGAAAGATCATGCCTTTCTTCCATGTTCATTCTATTAGTTCTCTTGTGTTATAGAAGAATGGATTATTAATTAACTAATTCATTACTTATTTAGTTACTGATAATCAGATTGGGTGTGGGGCAAAGAACCTCACAGTATTTATTCACATACTGAGTTCTGAAGAATCCTGGGCTCCTTACTCTAGAAACTACCCTAATATAGTAATTTCTGTGTTTTTGTCAAAAATGCCTTCAAATCTGCATGAGAGACTGGTGAGTGACAGCTCAGAAATTGGCTGGCTGGATTATCTGGTTCACTCAGGGAAAATGACGAGCTTTCATTCTAAGTGGTACTTTTGAACCAGGGTTGATGGTTTACTCAGTCCCTCGTGCCCTAGAGGATTTTTCTTTGAAGAACAAAAGACACAAATAGAAATTTCAATGACTCACATACTAGCTTATTGCTGAAAGGGGTACCTCACTTAGGATATGGAGAAGGGAAAACAGACATGCTTGGCCCCATGTAGCAGACACCCTGAGGTTCCTTCTTCATTTAAATAGGGTCTAACAACAAGACCTCCAACATAAGAAAAAAAATTCGCACCTCACCACAAAAAACTGATGTTTTCCTCTTGCCCCTTAAATAACACCTAAAAAACACACGTAGTAGATTTTTCTGCAGCAACTCTGCCATTGATAGTGATGGGTTAGCTCCTATGACAATCTCCCTTTCCCTCAGTCTGATGGTGTAACCTCATGTTCCCCTAATATTGCTTGCCTAACTGCCTTGAGGAAGACTCAGAAAGTGGCTAAACTGGACAAAACTTCATATTATCTCAGATCTGGATGTGGGAACAGAAGCATGGAAAAAGAGTGTGGGAGGTGGCCCTGGATTTTTAAGAGCAGAGCAGAAATTAGGAGTCCAATAAATTTTTCCTCCCACCGCGCCCCCACACCTCTTTTGTTTCTGGTCATTAAACCTGAGGCTTCACAAGGATTTATTTAAAATTTTATGTTCATTTTCCTGATCTTATTGGGAGTGCCTCATAAATATTCAAGATGTGAGGGCAATCTGGCTGAAACATCTGTCACCTCTTTGATTGCCAATGTTGGCTGGGTGACATAACTCACCTTCATTCCCCAATTTCCCCTCCTGGGTAGTTTTGAAAATCTTGTGTTTGGTGAAAAGGAGAGACTTTCCCCAAGACAAGAGGTCACTTTTGTGGTAGGGTGACTGACCATTCCTGTTTGCCTGGGACACTTAGTGCTAAAACCCATGGAGTCCCAGGTAAAGAAGGATGAACACTCTCCTAAGCTTGCGTGCTTTCGCTAGCACGTGGGCACATGCTTTCAATTATTCATGATAAGATAATAACAATGATGTATTGACATTCAGGATAATATTTCAAAGGTATGGAAACTCACCTTGAAAGGCAACAAATGGCTTTAATGCTTTTCATTACTATATTATTGGTATACGGAACTATCTACTCTCGAAGTCCTTGACATTAGAAGTTGTTGCTTAGACCAATTTCTACTCAAAAAAATTTGGGGAAACTTTCAACATGTATCATTATCAGTAATAAAGGCATTATTCATTGAAGAAATACATTCCCCGAAAGAAGATCCCTACCCAAGCCCTTGTTTTCTCCAAAAATAAGCATACAGTTGCCAGAGAGAGACCCAAGATTCTACTCTTCCTGATGCTACCCAGAGGTGATTTATTTTGATGGGTGAATGCTATCTCTAGAGGCAGTCACCCACAAATACGTGATACCATTAGAGATTTGTTTCTCGGTTTCCCCTAGGTCTGTGGCAGTTGGTGAGGGAGGACAATGACAGCAGATACTATACTATGACTATCTTCCCGGGTTCTTTTCATTGAAGAGGAGCGCTGCTGGTGGGACTTCTTAATTTCAAAAGCAGCAGAAGCATCTGGCGTCAGTGCGATCCAGATGCAGGTGAAGAAGACCAACAGGGAAGCCAGGATCATCTCTTCCAAAAGAAAGGAATGTAGATGGATGCAAACAGTACTGTGATCATAGTGCTTCTTCATCTTCATGCGTCTCTTTAAAAGTAAATAGAGTGCCAAGTAAAGGAAAAGGAAATGGAATGCCAAGTAAAGGTATCAAGGAAAAGGGAGAGGTACTGCCTTCAGTGCGGTGTCTTCTGTTTTAGTAGATTAAATAAATTCACATCACTTACAGGCGAACATCTGTCTGACTCATCAGCCGTTTAGGGAAAACAAAGCAGATTTTTTCATTTTCAGTTTCCATCCTTTAGTTCCTCTTTCCAGGGAAGGTTCTTAGTGGGATGCTTGATCCCCTACTCAATAAACTCTCAGCTGCAGTCCTAGACAGACAAAGAAGAGAGGTTAGGCATTAAATCCCCTTAATCCAATACAGTATCATTTGAATATATTTAATGATCCAGCAAAATAATATGCTTAAAAAGAACAAAGATGATTAATTTAATTTTAATTATACATTTGAAGACCTTTTCTTTTTCTCTTGGCTCCTTTTTAACCAGAAATTAATCTTTCTCTCCCTAAATGCATACAGATTGCCATAGTGCATACAAAAAAATAAATTATTATTTTTGTTGGGCAAATAATCATATTTTAAGATGATGGTGTATTCCACTGAAAGCAGAAGTGGTTCAATTTAAGATATAATATGGTAAGCAGCCTGATAAATAAAAAATAAATTAGCCTCGAGCAGTGGGTAAGGTGTACACTGTCACTGTTAAATTATGACCACACACATTCCTAAAAGTTCTCTGCACCCATAGAGTAGAAATATTCCCTGGAAACATTTCCTTTATGTATGCAATATTCTAATGAATGAGCATGTCAGTGAAATTAAATTTCTCCAACTGGAATATCACAAGGTGAGCAATATAGCAACAGCTGACCTGTTTACCAGGACTTAAGAAGAATACCATTTTCTCAGAAATAGAGTTGAAGGAAATTCTTAAATTTCCTGGAATTGATTTATCTCCTTGACACCTTGTATCCTATGTTATTGCTTTAGCACATTAATTTATTTTTACTTAGGTTACATCTTCTCTTAGCCAGTGTATTAAAACCTTCTTGTATGCTTCTTAGCCATGTCTTTCCTCTTTAAAATATATGCTTAATATAAAATATCACAAATATACAGAATGATGTAATAAATTCTTACCTCTTCCCTTATCCTCTAGTGTTTATCATCATATACAGTTAACTATTACATGTACACATTCATAAATAACACACAAACTTTTTGCATGTTTCAAAAACTTTATAAAAATGGTGTCCTATTATACTTTTACTTTTGCAACCTACTTTTTCTCTTAACATTATGCCTAGGGATTTATTATGTTGATAGATGTAGGTCTAGTTAATTCATTTTTACTTTTTTATTTTTATTTTTTAAAGATTTTATTTATTTATTTGACAGAGAGAGACACAGCGAGAGAGGAAACACAAGCAGGGGAAGCGGGAGAGGGAGAAGCAGGCTTCCCGCTGAGCAAGGACCCTGATGCGGGACTCGATGCCAGGACCCCGGGATCATGACCTGACCTGAAGGCAGACTCAACGACTGGGCCACCTAGGCGTCCCTCTAGTTAATTCATTTTTAATTGCTATATGGTATTTCAGTGTGTGGATAACAAACATTTATCTTATTTATTCTTTTATTGGTGGACATTATTTTTCTATCATAAACCATCTATTATAAACAATTCTGCAGTGAATGTTTGTAAATATTTCCTGGTGTACACGTGTTCGAGTTTCTTTAGGGTACATACCTAGAGGTAAAACCGTGAGGCTGAACATTTTCACACCTCCAAATTTACTGGATACTACTATATTGCTCATAAAAGTGAGAATACCAATTGACACCCCCACTCCTAAAGAATGAGAGTCCTCATTTTTAAAAAGCTTGGTATTATCAGGTTTCTAAATATTACCTAATTCAATGACTGTTGTAGTTTTCATTTTAAATTCCCTACTGGCTAGAGAAGTGTCAACCTTAGAAATAAAACTGCCAGTTATTTGACTGGCAGAAACAGGTTTATTCAAGAATAGTAGAGAATTGCAATCCGGGACAAGCAATCTAAGGCAAGGCATCCGCAAGTCCACAGAACAAATGAGAGGAACTCTCCTTTACGGAGGAAAGGGAAAAGTTGGGAGGAGCTGTTATAAACAGTCCATTGGAATAAACTGGGAGTTTGAAGTGTAGTGGCTTCCCATGGGCTGAGTTGTGACAGTCACAACTCATTGGCTGGGCGGCAAGTAAGTCTTTCTTCCTCCTGCTGGGATATTAAAGTAAGTATCCTCTGGTATGGTCTATCTCTTCTTGTCCGGTCTGCCATTGACAAGGAGTCGTGGGGCGTGAGAGCTCCCCCTGCTGGCCTCGGGATTCCGTTCTAAAGGGGGTTTCCTTTAACTCGTTTTCATAGAAGTCTGAGCGCTTTTCTCATGTATTTCTGGGCCAGTAAGCTCTCCTCTTCTGCAAAGAGCCAGCCAAGAGAAGACATGTAAAAAGAGTTGTTGGTCTTAAGCTACTGTCACTTAGGCTGCTGGAGGACTTCCTTGTGGTCACAGTTTGTTTTGCACCTCAGTGCTCTCATGAGATCCAGGGCCTGACCCCTTGAGCCTAGCACTCTATGCTGTGTAGGTCTATTCTCTTCACTTAGTACCATTATCTACACCAACATTTCCCAAAGTAGTTCATGGCTACACTGGAGATATTTTGTGAAAAAGTGTTCTGTGCTAAGTGAGTTTGGGAAATGTATTTTACTACCCTTTCAGGGATTTATAGTTCACATTACATGGTACAGTGGAAGTATTCTTGTCCTGCAGCAACTTGGAGGATGTCCGTTCAGTGGTCTAGTCTCAGTCCTTATCTTGCTTGGTCTATTAGAAGTATTGACGCACCGATCTCCCTCCTATTTGAAACATTTCCTTCACTTGCCTTCTGGGATTCCATATTCTCCTGTTTTTCCTCTCTGGTCATTCTTCCTTAGTCCTGTTATCTGATTCTCCTTTTCCCATCAGATTGCCTAATATTGGAGTGGCCCCACCCTCAGTACCGAGTACTGATCTTTCCTATCAACTCACTTCTTTAGGGATCTCATCCAGTCTCAAGGCTTTAAAAACCATACCAACAATCCCCAATTTATATCATCGGTCTGGGCTTTTCTCCCAAATTCCATCTCATATTGCTATGGTCTCAGTGTTTGCGTCCCCCAAAAGTCATGTTAAAATCCTAACCCCCAAGGTGATAGTGTTAGTAGGAGGGTCCTTTGGGAGGTAATTAGGTCATGAGGATGAAGCCCTCACAAAAAATGGGATCAGTGACCTTATTAAAGGGACCCCAGAGAGATCCCTCACCATTTCCACCACTGGAGGATACAATGAAAAGTCTGCAACCCAGAAGAGGGCCCTCATCTGACCAAGCTGGCACCCTGATCTCAGACTTTCAGCTTCCAGAACTGTGAGAAACAAATTTCTATCATTTATAAGCCACCCTGTCGAAGGGACTAAGCCCGAATGGACTTAAGACACACACCCAAATGCCTGCTTAATGTTTCTACCTGGATGTCTGATAAATGTCTTAAGTTCAACATGTCCAAAAGTAAGCTTGTTAATATTTCTCTCCTGATTCACCTACAACCTTCTCTATCTCAGCTGATAAAATACTGTCCTTTCTTGACTCCTCTCTCTCACACTCCATGTCCAACCCACCTTAAGAATACATCCAGGATCCCAGTGCTTCCCACCACCACATCAGCCACTTCCCTGGTCTTCAGTCACCATCTTGCTTGAATTATTGCAGCAGTGCCCTAACTAGTCTTCTTGCTTCTTCCCTTGCCCTGTTTCATTCAATTCACTGCAACCAGTGATTCTTTAAAAATAAAGATCAAGTCAAGTCACTCCTCTCTTCAAAACCTTGCAATGGCTTCTCCTCTTTCTCAATTTACAAAGCCTTTACAATGCCTAGGAAAGCCCTACAAAATCTGCAACTCCCTCCTCCTCTTTGCCTCTCTGACTTCTCCTACTGTCCCTTCCACTCCCACCAGCTGTTCCGCAAACACTGGCCTCTTTGTTGTTCCTTGAACATTACCAAGCGTGTTTCCACCTCGGGAAACTGAGACCGAAATGGGTTGTTACCCTTGCCTGACACACTCTTTATCCAGGTATCTATATGAATAACTCCTTGAACCAGCTTAAATCTTTGCTCAAATGTCCTTTACTCAGTGGAGCATACCCTGACCACTCTTTAAACAAATGCAGTATGCTCCCTTTCCTCCAACAACCTGTGCTAATCTACCTTATATGGCCCTTAGCATGTTTTATACAGTTTACTTATTATGTTTATTGTTCATTTTCTGTCCAACACTGCTAGAATGTAAGCCGTACAAGAGAGCAATCTTCGTCTTGTTCCTTGGAGTATTCCAAACACATAACCATGTTTGGCAAATAGTCTGTGTTTAATAAATATTTGTTGAATGATTATTAACACATCAAAAGCCTTAGTAAAAAAGCTTGTTTAGTTCTGCTGAATTCTATGTTTCTCAAATTCGATTGGCCTCAGATCTCCTTTTTAAAAAAAATCTGCAGTACTTACTAATATTCCTCAAAAAAGGGCTCCTCTAAAACACCCGTTGGGAAATTCTGATTTATAGGTAAATCTGTGCTTTACACATCCTCCCTACCAAAATGTTATGTCCTATCATCTTGAGACTGCGTTTGATGACTGCTAAACATTTAAATTCACAACGTAATAGTGGTAGCTGATAAAAAATAAGCATGACATTAAAATAGGATTTTGAAGCGATATTTTGACCTGAAGGAATGAGGCACTAAAGCAGAAGTTGTCCACTTTTTCTGGAGCAGTGGAGCTATTTCAGAGCACATGTTTTTTAGACACACCTGGCAGATCATATGCCTTCCACTACCACTTAAGTCACATCAGGATGCCCCTCTCCACACTGTAGGGATGAATC